GCTATTTGGCTGGCCCTAGAATCTTTTTTTTTTTTTTTTTTATCTGATTGAAAACATCTTCATTTCTGAACTGTGACTGATCTTGTTGATCTACATCTGTAAGGTTAGGCAGCAGATGTCTTCAATGCAGGACAGAAAATGCCCCCTCTGTCTGGTCTATTTCTCTTCTCTGGAATGGCCCGCATTACCTCTCAGACTGACACAATACACTAAGCAACAACCCATGGAAAAACTGAGCGCTCAAGCTTGCGGATTCCATGTTCTTTCAGCCAAGAGATAATTGTTTCTAACTTACAATGCCTTTTTTTTTTTTCCCCCTGGTCTGACTCCTAATGAGTTTCAGTCAGCCAAGATCCTTTTATATCACCCAAGTAAATATTGAAATAGATGAAATGAAAATGTCCCAAAAAATTCAATTGGAAATATTTTCCCCTTAGGTAAGCCAAAATATTATTTAATCTGCCTAGCTATAATGGAAAGTTAACCGAACTAATGATGGCTAGACTCTCCTAACATTAGGCTGACACTTTTTGATGAAATTCAGTAATTTAGTCTTGCAATTTAATGGCACAATCAATGAACAAAGGATAAGAAGGCTTAGGCTCTATTTCCAGTTCTGACTCTGGCTCGTTACCACTATGTCCCCCTGACCCTCTTCTATTATTACTTGAATTCTCAATTATGTTAGCAGCACACATGATCTGAGAAAAACACCCTGTAAGTTAATAAATAACAGGATTAGACTCTTATTTTTGCAACTGATATGTCACTTGTTCCAAACAAGAAATTGTGTATTTGCTACTTCAGTTTCTTTTTCTTTTTTTCTTTTTTTCTTTGGTTTTTTTTTTTTTTTTTTTTTTTTTTCTTCTGGAACTGGGGATTGAACTCAGGCCCTTGTGTTTACCAAGCAAGCGCTTATTCTACTGAGCCATCTCCCCGGCCTCCAACCTCAATTTCTTGATTCATAATTTTCTTGATACATTATTTGCCAAGGGCAGAGGCTATAGCTTAGTGGTGGACTACTTGCCTAGCATGGGTGAGAATGTGGGGTTTGATCCCTAGCACCACTATCAGCAAGAAAAAGTTTATTTCCTCCTCTTTCCCCTCCAGTATCCCATAGAAATAAACGAATAATCAGGAAAATGGTATCCATGCTATGAAAGATTTCTGTTCTCTCTAAATTGTTGTTATATAAAGAGAAATGTCCTTTTTAGTATTTTCACTGGCATTTTTAGGTATTTGGTCCTCTCTGAGTTTGAGTCAAATCAATTCTACTTGGAAAAGATTACTATTTTCACTTCCATTCTTTGCAGTCTTTGCAGAAATAGAATAGGCTACAGAGAATATGCTTTAAAGAAACAAAATTGTTCCAAAAGATTGTTGGCAGCCAAAAATTCTTCCAAGTCACATTATTGTTCCTAATCAAGAGGCAGCTTATTAATTCAGAGTTGTCTATAGCCCTGTTGTTTGGGTAGATGTTACCAACTAACAAAAGAGGGTTTCAATCAGTTAATCCTAGTTATTCCAGGATCTTTGCAATGTGACTGAGAAAGGCATGTAGGTAGCCAGAGGTCCTCTATTTGACAGTAGTTGGCAGACAATTTTTAATCTTTTTAGTTTTTTTATGTGTGTCAAACCTCAGAATTTTAAGGTATTTTCATCTAATGTAGCACCACTATCACCAGCAATAACAAGAGAGCTAACAGATAAATAATCTCCTATGTTGTTGCTAAAAGAATTGCTATGCTTGATTTATTTATTTATTTATTTACTTACTTACTTACTTATTTATTGAGATAGGGTCTTATTGATATACTCAGGCTTGTGTCAAACTTGTGGGCTCCAGGAATATTCCTGCCTTAACCTTCCAAATAGCTGAGGGTTTCCAGTATGTGCCACATGCCTGGCTTCATTGTAATTTTTGAAGATTGTAATAATAATGTGTTCTGCTATACAATTTGTTTGTCATGTTAGAGTACTATCCTATCCAAAGCTCAGAGCAGGAGGTACAACTCAGTGGTACAACTTAGCATGCGAGAGATCCTGACTCGGGATCCAAACTTCAAAGAGTAAAGGAAAAATGTCTCACATCAAGACATTACATGATATCAATTCCAAGACAGATCTGAAACCAAAAGACCCATTGATGAGGTAAAAGAAATAGAGAAATCTAAGTAACAAAAACGCCAGCCTGGTAAAACCAAAGATATGGAGCGAGGCTGGTAACTGGCAAAGATCATCGTGGGAAGGTCAGAACCATAGATGCCTGGCAACAAGTGTCAGGGATTAGTAACTAGGAAACTGGAATCCAAAGGCAGGAAATGCAGTTACTCTGGTTACCAAACATATCCACAGAAAGCCTGTAAATTCTCTGAGGACCTGTCTTCATTCAGTCAGCCTGTAAGTAAATATTAAGGATCTCTGTATTCCAGATACCTTTCTAGACACTGAGGAATCAAAGCACAACACAGAAAAAAGGTTACTGATTTTGTGCAGAGTATATTCTACTTTCGGGGAGTGGAGGGGAGGTCAGACAATGCACAACCAAGCAAATAAAATAAATAGTGTCTCCTTAGAAATAAGGCTATGGAGAAGTTCAAGTGGGGAATTCTGGGAGTAGAGTGTTCGGGCACAGTTTTATACACAGAGTTTAGGGAACACGTCTCTGAAAAGATGGAATAGAAAGGTGTAGGCGCTGTGATTGTGGCTCCATGGTAGAGCACTTGCCTACTGTGCACAAGGTCCAGGGTCCGCTGCACTGTAGACAAACACCTTCCACAAGACCAACCTGGAGGGCGTCACGAAGATGTCTGGTCAACAGGGTTCTGGGCAGAAAACACAGCAAATGCAAAGATTTTGTGGCAGTATCCTGTCTAGTGCTTGGCAGGAACAGTAAGAAGGTTGGAGTCACTGGAGTGGAGCAGAAAGGGCAGTAGATAATGTCACAGAAATAAGAAAAGACACAGATAATGTTTGGCCCAGTACCCCACTGGAGACCACTGGCTTTTATTTGAGAGATGAGAAATCACCAGAGAAAGTGAGGGCCAGGGAGATGGCTCAGCAGAATAAGTGCTTGCCTGGCAAGGGCAAGGGTCTGAGTTCAATCCCCGGTTCCACCAAAAAAATAAATAAATTAAATAAATAAATAAAAATAAAATAAAAT